CCTGGGGGTAAGATGACTGTCTCAGTGGATCCAGAAGGCAGAGTATTGAGCCAAAGAGGATTATTCTTGATCCTTAAGATCCCTAGAGTTTGTCTTGCTTGGTTTTGGACCTATTTGGGATCTGTCACCTCTTCCTTCTTTCCTGTCTCCCCCTTTTGTAATAGAAATGTCTATCCTATGCCTGTTCTGTCATTGTATTTTGGAAGCACATAACTTGTTTTGTTTCATGGGTTCATAATTGGAGAGAAATTTTGCCTCATAATGAATCTTACCTTGAGTCTCAACCATATCTGATTCAGATGATATTTGGTTGAGACTTTGGACTTTAGACTTTAGAGTTGGTACTGGAACCAGTTAAGATTTTGGGGTGTGTTGAGATGGAATGAATGTATTTTGCATGTTAGAAGGACATGAATTTTGGAGAGCCAGGGGTGGAATTCTATGAATGTTTAAATCTTTCCCAAATTCATATGTTGAAGCCTAAATTCTCAATGTTATGGTATTTGGAAGAGAGACCTCTGGGAGGTAATTAAGTCATGAAATGTGGCCTTATAATGGGATTAGTGCCCTTATAAGAAGAGACACGAGAATGATAATTTCCCTCTTTCTCTTTCTGCTATATGAGGATGCAAGAAGACAGCTGTCTGCAGACCAGGAAGAATACCCTCACAAGACATTGGATCTGCTGGTTCCTTGACCTTGGAGACTCTCTAGCCTCCAGAACTATGAGAATAAATTTCTGTTGTTTAAGCCACCCAGTCTATGGTATCCATTATAGCAGCCCAAACTGACGAATACAGGGAGTCAAATGGACACAGAGGTGGTAACTGGGCTTTGGTCATTTTGCCAATACCCCACCCAGACTGCTGACTGCCAGGCTAGAGATCTTTAGGAGAAGAAACTGTGGAATATCATGGAAAGTCTAGGAGTTGAGGGAGAATTCGAAGAGGTGTGTTTGAGGGAGTCTTTCCTTGATTGAGGAACAAGTTCCTCTGACAACCTCTCACATGTGCCCTTTTAAAGAGGTGGGTCTTTATGACTAGAGTGGGCNAAGCCACTGAAGAGGCTTTAATCAGGAGATAACCTACTTTAAAATGATCGCTAAGATTTTAGAAAAGAAGATGGATTAGAGATTTCTGCAACCATTATGGAAGACCAAGTAATTACTATCAGCCCTCATACTGAAGGCCTCTGAAAGGGATGGATGAAATATTTTTAAAAGTCTGAAGAGTATCAAAGAACTGAAAGATGGGAAGGAACTTCTGGTCCTAAATCTCAGAAAATGTAAGAACTCAGATATGTACACCCAACACCCAAAGCCACTTTTGCCCTGTGGGTATTTTTGATGTGAAAGTAACCTCAGGTTTTGGAAGCCTCATGGGTTGAAATAGATGAAAATTAAAAGCTAACCAAGGGTCCAGACATGGGATATTTGATATATCCTCACCTCCCCCACCCACCTCCCTAAAAAATCCCACACAC